ATCGCCATTTAAAAAACTATGTCTGGGTCCTTTCTCTTTTTGATTAAATATTCCCAGTCATCATTTGTAAAAATATGCATGCTTCCTTCAGAATTTGAGAAAGTATGCTCCATCTTGCAGTTATTTGAGAAACTATGTTCAACAGTGAGTTGGGCAATTTTTTGCGCGACTTAAGTCGCCCAATTTCTTCAATTTTAAGCCCCTTTCATTCCTATTCAACAATAAAGATAATAAGGGACTCAAACTAATATATTTTAGGGACAAACCAACATAAAAATGGGGATTTTAAATCTATTAACATATATTAAAACTTGAAAATTTATAGTTATCAATACCTCACACAGTAAAGCACATGTATGGAGTCACTCTATTGTCTCCAAACGTGCTTACCTACTTTGTGAAAGACTACAGTTCATATACGGCCAAAAGTCTGTATATCTGAAGACAAAGAATAAATTTTCCACTAAAAGTTTGCACGTGCTTTGTACCCTCTGACTTGTAATAAATGCAATGGATATAAATAGCCGAGAAGACTCTCTTCTCAAATGTGAAGCTAAGCTTGCTCAAGCAAAAAGTAACACATTATTGAACAAGCATTTTCTCTCTTGATCTTCTGTATATCTTGTGTGCTTCCTAGATTTTTTAGATAAGTTCTATATCTTATCTTCTTCTGCGAACAGTCTGTAAATTATGTATTGATCTTCACATATCAATAGAGGATTTTAAGAACCGAAAAATATGTGTTTGTATTCATCCCCCTTCTACAAACTGTTACTTATAAACTCTTGTAGATCCATCTAGAACCAACATAATATACTATATAGACCCTGAAAATGGGATTCCCATGGATCGTGCATAAACAGGAAACTATGTTACACAACACATGAGATGTCTGGGCGTGTGAAGGTCAAATATTGTAGAGCCCCTGCTAAACTCCGGTATAAAAAGGAGGACTGGAATAGGCGTTGATCTTGGCTTAGGTGTCGAGCTGAGTGGTTGTGTCCTTGCAAGAAGACACATTAGCACAAGCTAAGATATCAGAAGCATACTTAGATTGTGACAAAAATAGGCCATTGACATGTTGAGAAACCGAGATCCCCAAAAAATAATGTAAGTTTATAAGATCTTTCATCGCAAACTCGGAACTTAACTTCACTACAATTCACTTTCGAAGAGCATCAAACGAGGCAATTAAGATGATGTCGTCTACATATAATAACAAGTAAGCCGTATGTTGCCCATGTCGATAAATAAACAAAGAATTGTATGAGCGGCTATGAGTAAAACCAAGTGTCTGAACAAAGGAAGCAAAGTGAGCATAGCAGATATAGGGATCCTGTTTTAAACCATAGAGAGACTTCTTCAAACGACATACATGATTTGGAAAATAGGCACTTTTGAAACCAGGGGGTTGATGCAAGAACACCGTTTCATGTAGAGTACCATGGAGAAACGTGTTTTTCACATCAAGTTGGTGATTACCCCATTTCTTAAAGATAGCTATACTGACAACGGTGAGTATCGTAGTTGGTTTGACCACCGGATAAAATGTCTCATGAAAATCCACGCCCACTTGTTATGACCTGCCATTAATAATAAATTGATCCTTATGTCGCTCGATTACACCGTTAGCGTGAAGTTTATGTGTAAAACCGACATGCACCGAATATTATTAACCCCAAAAGGCCTAGGCACAAGTTCCCATATATCTTCTATAATAAGTGCTTAAAACTCATAATTCATAGAGTTAGAGAATTACAATGACGGATACATCTATGTGAGAGGACGAAAGAGCAAAATCCGTTTGACGAAAGGTGTGAAGGGCATACTTGGGATTGGGTTTTGTAATGCCTGTTCCATTGTGGGTTGTCATTGGATGTTGGGGTGTAGGTCAAGCATGAGTAATAATCGGAGAGGGGTGGGTTTGGGGGGATGGTATAGTGGAAGAATGAAAAGGTGGATTGGACACAAAAGAAGGAGAGATAGTTGGTATGGCGGGGGGATGTGAGGCAAAGGGCTAGACACTAAAGGTATTGACCCATGTGTAGAAGTGGTGGATGATTGTGATGGAATGGAGGGTGGAGTGCAAAACATGGGATGTATGTGAGTGTCTAGAAAAGTGTAAATGTCTGGTGAGTTAGATTTTGTAAGGGAAACTTAGGGGCTAAATATTATATTTCTAAAACACTAAGTTGTAACATATGCAAGTATACACATGTCAATATTATCGCCTTCAAGTACTAAAATGGTAAGAACCAAGTATTGTACTCCACAAGGATAGGTATCTTAAGTTGCAAGATCTCAAGTTGAAAGACTAACTTCGGATGGCGAGTTTGAAGACATTGATTTGGTATTGAGTTAGCACTACTGAAATAACAAAATAATAAAGCAAGAAGTGGTGTAAGACTTTTTGGTGAGACTTAAACACAAATTCCAGCAGACCTATGTTGTAGCAATGCTACAACATGCAGTAGGCTATAACTAGTTTCACCATGTATTTTGAGGGTATTCTTCTCGGACTTCCAACATTTGCACTGATGTTTAGGGTCAACCACACATCTCTATGTGATAATAGACTAGTAGTAGCGCAAAATGAAGTCCTCAAAATATATAGACAACAAATCTCTTTGTATAAAATCACTCTCTCAAGAAGATTCCCATATCACTCAAGTTGATATGTTTCGAATGGTTCATATCCGAGTCCACTCTACTTTAACACTTCAATAAGAGACCAATCTGTCGAGAATTAACCAATTTGAAAACACAGACAACAAATCTCTTTCGCAGCAACTCTCTCAAGTCTACTTCTCATATCATTCAAATTGACGTGCATTCGAGTGGTTTATCTCTAAGACCACGACACTTTAACACTTTTCATTGTGATCAACTCTTCAAGAAGTATCATTGGTTTTATAAAACTTGAAATGAAATAGTGGAACGTTGATAGTGCGAAACAACATCCACTTTCCGTGGTTTAAAGTCTCACATTTCCGTCTCACGCCTAAGCTAATAAAATTAGTTACTCATTATGAAAAATAAATTGCAAGAAAAGTAAAGAACAAAGAGTAAAGACATTAATTTAAATGACTGAAATTAAATAGCGGAAAGTAAAGTGCAATGAATATAAAGAAAGTTATAACAAGATTTAAAAAAATTACGAGAATTATATTAAAGCAAGAACATAAACTTTAACGACTTCAAAACGTAAATCAAAACATGGCACCGACTGCTACGCTATAAGAAAAAAGTTATGCCTTATCCATCAGCAATTGTTTTTGGCGTAATGGTAAGTGCTTGGATCCTAACATGTGGTATCATTGCAGGTCACAGGTTCGAATCCCATGAGGTGCATAATAATGACAAAGGCATGTTGCGCAGTCATTGTCTTCTAGAGAAGATTTTGTTAGTGATGGCAGATGTTGGGGGTGATTGTTGGGTCATTGACTAGCACCTTCCTAAATCGAAACTTGACATTGACTACTATGCTATAAAGAAATAAGTTGCGTCTTCTCCACTAACAATTGTTTTTGGCATAGTGCTAAGCATTTAGATCCTAACAACAACAATGCGTTAACATGAGTGATCTGGCAAAATATGCATGTTAACCATCCATTCATCCTAAAAACAAGTAAATCATAACATTTAGCTCCAAGAAATAATAAATAGAAAATCAGAAGATAAAAGACTAAAAGTTTGGATGTAAATAGGAACATAAGCTACTTTTAGGTAAAGAAATGAGTGTGAAAACACTAAACGATTAATGCATATCAATTAGTATACCACGTGCAGTGAGCCTGTCATAAGCCAAAGAGAGACTTCTTCACACAACATACATGATTTGGAAAACAGCATCTTTGAAAGCGGGGATTAACGCATAAACATTGTTTCATTTAGAGTACCATGCAGAAATGTGTTTTTCACATCACGTTGGTGATTACCCCACTTCTTAAAGAGAACTAGACCGAGAAAAGTGTGTATTGTAGCTGCTTTGACCACCGAACTAAATGTCTCAAAAAAAAATACACGCCCACTTGTTGTGACCTACCATTAGCAACCAATCGATCCTTATGGCGCTTGATTACACCGTTAGCATAAAATTTATGTGTAAAAACCACATGCACCCAATAATATTAACCCGAAGAGGCCTAGGCACAAGTTCCCATATATCATTTTTAATAAGTGTCTGCTCATCATGCATAACTATGGACCAATTACACTAATGGAGACATCTATGTGAGAGGTCGGAAGAGCAAAAATCGTTTGACGAAAGGTGTGAAGGGCATATATGGGATTTGGTTTTGTAATGCCCATTCAGCTGCGAGTTGTCATTAGATGTTGGGGGTGTAGGTCGAGCATGACTAGTAATGGAGAGGGGTGGGTTTGGGGATGGTATAGTGGACGAATAAAACGGTGGATTGGATACTAAAGGAGGCGAGATAGTTGGTATAGCAAGGGGATGTGAGTCAAGCAGAAGGTATTGACCATGTATAGGAGTGGTGGATGACTGTGATGGGATGGACTATGAAGGGTGGAGTACAAAACATGGGATGCATGGGAGTGTCTAGAAAAGTGAAAGTGTCTGGTGGGTTAGATTTTTAGAGAAGGGAAACTTGGTTTCATCAAAAGTTACATGTCTCGAGATAATTAATTTTTTGAAGACATGTCAAAACAATGATACCCATGTTGATTTTGCTGAAACCCCAAAAAGATGCATGGAGTACAACGAGGTTGATGCTTGTGGATAGTGAAGGGGGGCTATGGAAAACATAAGCAACCGAACACTCTGAGATTAGAGTAAGAGGGAAGTCTCTTGTAGAGGGATTCAGTAGGAGATTTGAAAGAGAATGTTATGGAGATAGGTAGTTGTTTGGAGAGCATAGAGCCAAAAAGATGATGGCATGTTTGAATGAAGAAGCAAAGTCTGAGTGATTTTATTTAAGGTGTAGATTACGCTCGGCATTACCGTTTTGAGACGAAATATATGAACAAGAAAAACGAATATGAATACCGTTACCGATGTTGGCGAATTGTCTAAGTCTGATTGTGGCGTGAGGCATGGATCGGGTCAGCATACGATATTGGAGTGCAGTCCAAGTCATCAAGTTTAAATATGAGATAATTATCTATTCCTAAAAAAGAGGGGTTTCCTTCAGATAATTATGTGGTTTAAACTATAATTATCTATTCCTAAAAAAAGGGGGTTTCCTTTAGATAATTATGTGGTTTAAACTAAAAGAATCCTAGATATATACAAACGTGTTGAGTTCTGTATATATATATATATATATATATATATATATATATACAGTGTAGGGTAGGGATTGAATGTAATTTTTGAAGTTTTGAGTTATAGTTTCTTCAATAAAAGTTCTTGCGAGTCAGGCAACATTATTGGTGTTCTACTTTCTGTTTTGCTTTAATTGGTATCAGAGCTAAGGCAAAACAATTTGCAGCCGACAATGTCAGGAGGAGGAGCTCCGCAGCCACCGGCGAAGGAACCAACATCATTGACATTTCAATTTCCAATATTATCGTCAACAAACTATACTATATGGAGGATGCGTATGGAGGTACTTCTCGGTATTCACGGTGTCTGGGAGGTGGTCGATCCAGGTTTAGATTATGCCAAGAAGAACAATATTGTGAAAGTGCTCTTGTTCCAGTCCATACCAGAAGATGTAATTCTACAAATCGGAAATCTGAAGACTGCGAAGGAGATGTAGGATGCAATTAAGACACGTAATCTGGGGGTTGATCGCGTGAAGGAGGCGAGACTCCAGACCTTAACTGCTGAATTCGAAAGCATGAAGATAACAAAGAATGGTACGTTAGATGATTATGCTGCAAAAATATCGGGTATTGCTTCACAATCAGCTACACTAGGAGAGGTCATGGCAGAAAAAAAAACTCATAAAGAAGTTCCTCACAAGCCTCCCCAAGCGCTTTCTTCACATTGTTGCAGCCCTCGAGCAAGTACTAGATCTTAAAACCATTGGTTTTGAGGACGTGGTAAGAAGATTAAAGGCATATGAAGAAAGGATCAAAGGAGAGGATAAAGTGATCGAAACACAAGGAAAACTGCTTTACTCTAAAACTGAGTCCTCAAACAGAAACCGAGATTCATCTAGAGGGAGAGGTAACACCCAAAACCATGGTTACCCACAACCTCCTAAAAATCGAGAAAATCAAAACCAAAAAGGAAAACAACGCGAACAAATAGAACATTCAAATATCCAATGTTACCGTTGTGATAAGTACGGACACTTCGCTTCTAGATGCCCGGATCGAACCAGAAACCATGAAGCAAACCTTAATGAGACACAAGAAGAAGATATGAATCATGAAGAAGGAACGTTTTTTATGATGAATGCAATTCAAGAAACGATGTTCTTGAACGAAGCCAAATACATCCCTCCAAAGGTCGAGCCCAATACCGATAAAGACGGAGTCTGGTACTTAGATAACGGTGCCAGTAATCATATGACCGGTAATTACTCCTACTTCTCAGAATTAAATGAACGCATAACTGGAAGGGTAAGATTCGGAGACGGGTCATGCGTTGGTATAAAAGGAAAGAGATCAATTTTGTTCGAAGGAAAAAACGGCGAGCAAAAATTAATGGAAAATATTTACTTATATTCCATCCCTCAGGAGTAATGTAATTAGTCTCAGACAGTCTACAATATCCGGTTGTGACATTCGTATGCGAGGTGACCTCTTAACCATGCGAGATGGAGACGGAAGATTGCTCATGAAAGTCCCGAGAAGTGAAAACCGTCTCTATAAGATCCAAATAAAAATTGGAAAACCACATTGCTTTCAAGCCAAAATCAATGATGAAGCATGGTTATGGCACGCACAGCTTGGTCACATCAATTTTGGCGCGGTAAACTTGATGCACAAGCTAGCTAAAGGGGTACCAACAATCCAACATCAAGATCAACTCTGTGAATCTTGCATGGTTGGAAAACAAACAAAGCAGTCGTTTCCTAGAAAGGCCAAGTATAGAGCAACAAATATTCTCGAGATGGTGCATGGAGATATTTATGGACTTGTTGACCCTCCCACGCAAGCCGGTAACATTTATATTTTAGTACTTATTGACGATTACTCCAGATACATGTGGTCTCTTCTCTTGAAGCACAAAAGCGATGCATCCGGAGTGATTAAAAGATTCAAAACAGTAATAGAAAAATGAACCGGTAAAGAGATCAAGACATTCCACACGGACAGAGATGGAGAATTCACGTCACATGAATTGAACCGTTTTTGTGATGAAAAATGGATTTCACGTATGTTGACGGCTCCTTATGCACCTCAACAAAATGGAATTGTCGAACGAAGAAATCAGACTCTACTCGACATGACGCGGTGTCTAATGAAAGCAAAAGGTGTACCAAACTACCTTTGGGGTGAAGCAGTCCATCATGCAACATTCATCATAAATAGAACCCCTACACGAGCTTTGGTAGGTGTCACACCATATGAAAAATGTTATGATGAAAAACCGAACCTTGAAGACCTAAGAGTATTTGGCTGCGTTGCATATGATAGAATAGTTTCAAAGCATTTGAAAAAACTCGATGATAGGTCGAAACCACTAGTGTATCTCAAAGGAACCCAACTCAGGAGGATTCCGTCTATTCAATCCACATGAAAATCAAATTATTATAAGCACCCATGCAGTTTGTGATGAATACAAGGCATGGCAGTGGAATAACCTGTTAGACAAACAAGTTGAAGTTGGAGCAGGTACGTTCACGGTACAGTGGGGCGACTCGCAGGCTGTAGCACCGGATCAGCCGCCCAACTGCAACCGAGCAAGAACAGCCCATAGATCAGGCACAAACCAAGGGGAACAGTAGCTCGTCACATACAACAGACAGCCCAGCTCGACCTGAAAATGGCCCAGATGACGAAGTGATTCATGTACGTCGTTCAACCCGTGTATCTGTGTTACCAAGAAGGCTAAACGACTACGAACTAGATGTTGATCACTTGATGCTAACATTTGATGAGGAACCAAGGAACTTCAATGAAGCCAAAGCGAACAAGGAATGGGTCAAAGCAATGAGAGCTGAGATTGACTCGATTGAGAAGAATAATACGTGGAAATTAGTTCATCCACCTAAAGATGTTAAGCCAATTGGGTTAAGATGGTTATTCAAGATCAAGAGGAATCCAAACGGATCAATTATCAGGTACAAAGCACGTCTAGTGGTTAAAGGCTATGTACAAGAACAAGGTATTGATTTTGACGAAGTATTCGCGCCAGTAGCCCATCTCGAGACAATAAGACTATTGATCGCTCTCGTAGCTGGTAAGGGATGGAAGATTCATCACTTGGATGTAAAAACAGCATTTTTGTATGGTGATTTGAAAGAAGAAGTGTACATTAGTCAACCTGAAGGTTTTGATAAACGAGCAAAAGAAAGAAAAATCTACAAGTTGGCAAAAGCTTTATATGGCCTAAGGCAATCACCAAGAGCGTGGAACCTAAAGCTTAATGACACTTTAAAGGATATGGGATTTCAACGATGCTTGCAAGAGAATGCAGTTTATAAAAAAGTGTCTAATGGGGAATTTATTATCATCGCAGTCTATGTAGATGATCTATTTGTGACAGGGACAAGCTTGAAGTTCATAAACCAATTCAAGAGAAGGATGGCATCACAGTTTGAAATGTCAGACCTTGGTGAATTAACTTGCTACTTAGGCATTGAAGTTACACAAGACATAGACTGTGTAAAAGTTAAACAAGAATGTTATGCCATGAAAATCCTAAAAGAAGCAGGTATGCAGGACTGTAATGCAACCCAATGTCCACTGGAGCCAGCGCTAAAGTTGACGAAAGCTGCAGATGAGCCAGAAGTTGAAGCTACCCATTATCGAAAACTAGTAGGTTGCTTACGTTATCTCTTGCATACACGTCCAGATTTAGCATACTCGGTCGGGGTTGTTAGCCGTTATATGAAAAGCCCAAGAGAATCTCACGCACGTGCCATTAAACAAATTCTATGTTATCTACGTGGGACAACGTCCTTTGGGATAAAATATGAACGATGTGAAGATTTGAAACTGCTAGGATACAGTGACAGCAGTCATAATGTTGATATAGACGATGGGAGAAGTACAACGGGACATGTTTTCTACCTTGGTAACTCACCTATCACTTGGTGCTCTCAGAAGCAAGACACAGTGGCGTTATCCTCATGCGAAGCATAATTTATGGCAGCCACTGCGGCTACATGTCAAGCAATATGGTTGAGGGAGTTATTGGCTGAGCTGACAGGAATGAAGAAACAGAAGGTGTTGATTCGTATAGACAACAAATCAGCAATTGCTCTGTCGAAAAATCCAGTCTTTCATGGTAGGAGCAAACATATTCACACTCGTTATCACTTTATTCGAGAACATGTTGAGAATGAACAAGTGATAGTTGAACATGTTTCTGGGGACAAGCAACAAGCAGATCCTCTTACGAAGGCTTTGGCACGTATAAGGTTCGCAGAGATGAGATCGTTGCTTAGTGTGCAAGAATTACCCTCCACTCAGACTTTCAGGGGGTGATTGTTGGCGAATTGTCTGAGTCCGATTGTGGCGTGAGGCATGGATCGGGTCAGCATACGATATTGGAGTGCAGTCCAAGTCATCAAGTTTAAATATGAGATAATTATCTATTCCTAAAAAAGGGGGGTTTTCTTTAGATAATTATGTGGTTTAAACTATAATTATCTATTCCTAAAAAAAGGGGGTGTCCTTTAGATACTTACGTGGTTTAAACTAAAAGAATCCTAGATATATACAAACGTGTTGGGTTTGTATATATATATATATATATACCGTGTAGGGTAGGGATTGAATGTAATTTTTGATGTTTTGAGTTATAGTTTCTTCAATAAAAGTTCTTGCGAGTCGGGCAACATTATTGGTGTTCTACTTTCTGTTTTGCTTTAACCGAAACATAGTTGACGGAACTGGGTATTATTGTACTCTGGTCCATTGTCTTATCTTTGGGTCAAACTCAATAGACATGGAATTATCTTTGATGAATTGTCTTACCGACACAAGGTTTTAAATCAAGTTTAGGACCACCAAACCATTATTGAGTTGAAACAGAGGATAAGGGGCTGAAAACTATGTCATAATTGTACCCCTAATTGGAAGCGAATTTTCATTACCATCAAAAACATGATCAGTTAAAGGTCTATTAATAAAGTGAGACATTGTACTTGGGTGTGACGTCATGTGAGATGTGGCTCCTGTATCCATGTACCATTCATCTCTCGGTGGATTAAGTGACATCGTGTGTAATATGGCTTTAATATCGGTGGGAGCACAATAGGACAAAGTGTCGGAGTTATATGTTTGTTGTGGTCATGGTCCTAAAATACCTTGATCCTATGAAAGACGAGGTTGTGTTCTAGAGTTCCAAGTGGGTGCAGAATACCCCCTCGTTGGATATGGACATGGTGGCATAGGCCACTGACCTTGCTACCACGCCAGAGGTTGCAGTGAGAAAGACCATGGTTGATGAGGGTGGAAATAAGGATCAGAACCTTGACCACAGTAGCTACTTCCTCGCATCCATAAGCTCCATGACCTCTCCCCCGGCCACGATATGGTCGATAGTCGTGTCGCTCCAGTGTGGGTATCGCGGTGGTGGGTTGAGTTCGACCAGAACTGTTGTAACTAAGGTCGTAGGAGGAGAAATGACTACTTTTTCTTCTTTCCGGAATTCCTCTAGTGGATCAGATTGTAGAATGAGAGTTGCTAACCCATCATATGCCTCAGAAAGGTCAGTCACTAACTGCAAAACCAGTCGCTGATCAGAGACCGGTGCACCTACATTTGCCAACTGAGCAGAGAGAACCTCTAATGTTGACAATATACTAAAATGGATGGAAAATCAGATTGTTGGAGACGCGTGAACTGATTAGGAGGGGAAATTCATGAGCGAATATTGATGGTTGAGGCTATAGGAGTAACGTTTTTTTTAGCTTAGTGGCTCTTATCTAAGTGAATAAGCCTCAACCGAACAACCTTTTATAGCCGAACGAATAAACTATAAGGCTTATACCGTCCATTAAGTCATAAACGAACACCCCCTAACAATAGTTTCTTATTGGTGCAAATGAGTTTGTATAGTTAATAGCATTTGTTTGGTTAACAGAAGATCTTCCATCTACTTCTTTTGTTGAAGACAATTCAACGTTTTGATTCAAAACACAGTTTGATAAACGTTTTTAAATAATTATCACATAAAATGATACCAAGTTACGTGAATATATAAACGACAATCTCAGCACGTATTTGACACTAATATCATCGAGACAGTATGTATTTGCAAATATGAATCTAATCTATACTATATTATTAGACATATTAAACGGTTAAGTGTTGATTTTAAGAGGTACATATAAATTTGTATCTTGTACAACTTTAAATATTGCAACAACCTCCCTATGTTTGTAAAAAGACCGAATATTTAGCGAACCGCTTGTGAACCATTTGGCGGGAAGTCTATTTATGTGCATTTATTTAATAAACGAACGAATATAAACACATTTTTTTGTTCGTTTAGTTAAAAGAACGAACATAAACAATAACCTTGTTCATTCATTTGCGTTTGTTAATATTCGTCCATTTATGTTCTTTATATAAAAATATGTAAATATATATGATATTTTATAATATGATTAAATTCAAAAATATTAAATATTGGGTTCATTTTTAAGGTATTGACGAGACGATTATAATGATGAAACTTGTAAAAAAAAAATATTTTTAATGTATTTTAGTTAATATATGATTATGTATGTTAATATGATAAAAATGTAATACAAAAAACGAAAGGGTAAGGGAAATAAAGTAAATTAAATGACCAATTATAATGGTATAGAGTGTAATTTAAATTATCATTAATATCATGGGAAGGTGGGAGGTTTAGGTCTATAAACGAACCGAACGAACATGAATGGAGGCTTGCTCTTATTCGTGTTCGTTCTTTTAACTTAATTGAACAAAAGAATGAAACTTTTTGTGTTCATGTTCGTGTGTTTAATTGAACCGAACAAACGGACGAACAAAAATAGTAAACGAACACAACTGTAATTAATTGTAACTTTTGAAGGTTATAATGAGCATAAACTTCACATCCTCGATTTACAAAAAAAAATTGACATCTCGTCGCATTGCACCGGTATCCTACTAGTTATTCAAAGAGTAAACTACAATCCGGTTCATGTGGTTTGTCAAAAATAACATATTTCGCCGTAGTTTCATAATTATAAGAGGGCCATCGAGATTTACAAAAACGTCTAGATTTAGTCCTTTCTGTTAACAACCGTTAAAAATTTTGTTAAATAAAAGGCATTCTCATACGTTTATTGATTTTTTTGTCTTTTACCTAACCAAAATTGATTTTATAATTTTGATCATGTGGTTTTTGAATGGATAAAAGACAAAAAAAAAATTAATAAAATGACAAAAATGCCCTCTCTTAAAAGAACTTTGTAAAAGGAAAACATCAAATCTAAACATTTTTATAAATCATAGGAACCATCTTGTAATTTACAAAACTGTAAGGATGAAAAATATTTTTTTACAAACTACATGGACCAAAACCAAACTTATTTAAAATCTAAGAAATTTGGTAGTTGAGAATTCAACTTTGAATATGACATGGAACGGATCTTTCCACAGCTTATGCCAGATTACAGATAAGGCACAAGCCCACCACACGCCATTTAATCTCAATCCTCCACGTGTCTCTTCTATCAATGGTCCATAAAGTCCCGTATCCCATTTGTGCTCTCGTGAACCCTTGGCTCCCTCTTTTAAATTTCAACCCCCACTCCTCCTTCTTCTTATCAAAAACACACACATTTTCACTTATCGATTTAGGCAAAAATGTCTGTGAGAGCAGCAGATTCATCATCGTTTAGCGTTTTTCTGAAACAATCCGATGTAAATCTCGATGTTGTACCCAAAATCTCGACTGGTTTTGTGAAATTTTCATGTTTCTCGTCGTCTCCATCCTCTGTTTTGAGTTTATTATCAAATGGGAGAACAAGAGGAGCCGTACGTTGTGCATCAACGGTAAATGAAGAGAATCTGGTGGTGAGTAGTGGGGTGTTGTTTCAGCCATTTGAAGAGGTGAAGAAGGAGGAGTTCATGGTACCAATATCTCCTCTCACATCACTTGCTCGTCAAAGGTATTTTGAAGATTGTGAATCTGCCATCAATGAGCAAATCAAGTAAGTCATTTAGTTATTTTCAACAATTATTTGTCGTTGATCTTGGCTCAGATTGTATAATCTCGTCACATGGTCCATATATCTGTCTGTGCAAGTGTTTCTGTGCGTATTTCAGACCGATTTCCAAAGAGTTTATGCATGATCCATGAAAACTACAACATTTAGGTCATTTTCAATCATAGTTTTCTGGTAATTTAATACTGAATTAATTCAGATCAACAAAATTCTCTCACCTTTTGCTTTTGGTTCTCGGTAAATTTGAACTCGTAATGATCTATAAGTTTGAGTTCATGACATGGACTGAAGACATACTTGATAGTAGCTTATACTCCCGGGAAAATTACCTGATTCATGTTTTTTTAAACCTTTATTTTGGTATATCTCACACATTTAGATTAAAGTACGGTAAGGACCAGGGCGGGCGCTATGGGTGGGCAGCCCAAGGGCATCGAATAGCTCAATGTTAGTTGTATAGTCATTAAAAACTAAATTGAATTCTTACTACAAAGATTTAAATTGTCTACATCTGGTATTATCAGGAGGCTTTTACTAATTAGCCGGAGATTATTTTGTTTATATTTATCTAGATTTCGTTTTTTAAACTTCGTTCCTTGAGGCGTTTTCTTTTTTTTCACTCCCGATTAATTTTTAAAGTTCATTTTTGTCGTGCTTTTACAGCAATAAATATTTATTTGAAATAAAATTAATAGCACAAATAATATTTGTATAACTTATTATTTTAAGACCCTATAATAATATTTGAGTATATTGTTTGTTCAAAATTGTTATAAAATTATTATAACAAAATTTATGTGTAGAATTTGTATAAACTAATAAAAGAAAGAATATTATTAAAAAGGTATATAAGTTAAGAATATGAAATATACTTTTAATAATTTATTTGATGCAAAAAATAATATAATGCGTCATTGGAATTGAATTACTACAGTTTACACAAAGTTTTACATCATTTTGTTGGAAGTATTGTGCAAATGATTGAATATGGACTAAACAACATTTGAACATTTTTACAATTGGAACTTTTGTTGTCTTTCTAATTGTTCTTACTGTTTTGATGTTGCAGTGTGGAATATAATGTCTCCTATGCGTACCATGCGATGTATGCATACTTTGATAGGGACAATGTTGCTCTAAAAGGCCTTTCCAAGTTAGCAAACCACATAAACTCACAATCCATCTTATCTTTACGTTAAAATGCTTACCCACTTATAAAACCTTCATTTCCTCTCATCAGATTCTTCAAGGAATCGAGTGATGAAGAAAGAGAACATGCCGAAAAGTTGATGAAATATCAGGTTAATTATTTTGCCATCAATAAACTGGGATCAATCTTAATTTGTCTTTTTTTTTCAAGATATTTCTAAATCCATTAAGAAATGTATAGAATACACGAGGTGGAAGAGTGAAGTTGCACACCATAGTTGCACCGCCTTCAGAGTTTGAACATGTTGAAAAGGGTGACGCTTTATACGGTAAGCACAATTCGAATATATATATATATATATATATATATTCCATTGACAGTCTACTTTCAAGTAGGATATACTGGGTTTGTATATCAGGTTAATTAGCACTTGCTTAACATATGCATTTCACCGTCGATCATTCTTTTGATCTCTAATTAGCAATGGAGCTAGCATTGTCCTTGGAGAAACTAACCAACGAAAAACTTCTCCATTTGCATGAGGTATGCCATTTTATCTTTGAGATTGCAGTATTTTATCGATCTCACATGACGAATAAGGCTTAGAGAAAAACTGTCATCCTCCATGTTCACCAATCACGTGAAGCCATGTCATCCATTTATTGACGAGAGAGAATGAAAAAATGAATTAAATAAATTTATTTGAATAAAAAGATGACATGGAATATCAAATATATGGTCTGTTCATGGAGGGTCATTTTCTTCTTTAAGCATTATTCATCATGTACATAGGATATGTTAATATTATCTTGTGGTATATAACTTAGCCTATGTTTTCCAAACATAGGTGGCCTGTACAAACAATGATCCACAAATGGCAGACTTCGTTGAGAGCGAATTTTTAGCTGAGCAGGTGAACATCATATATATACTTATGGCATAAATATGTGTTTGGGCGAGTTGTGTGTTTTAGCATGTTCTTCGGATTTAGCTCGAGAACATAATTCCACGCATGAGCTCGAATAATTTTTTCAAAATAGTGCTCCAGCTCAAGCTTGAATAATTTTTTCAACGTTTGAGCTCGAATTTGATGCTAATTCAACAACTTTGAGTTCAAATTATGACCTAAAGTTCAAGCTAACAGGGTCGAACTAGACATTGATTTACTCTACCTTTTTGGCTCGTTTTATATATTTGATTGCATGATTTATGAACACATGGTTCAACTCGACTTGAAAAACTTAATCGAGCTTTTGAATGAGTTGAAGCAAACATTGTTGTTATGGAACTCAATACGTTAAATTAAGCGAGATCAATTTTGTATTTGAGATCGGGTTGAACGTGAGATTTACTATGGTCAATCGAGTAGCTCTTTAATTACTGGAATAGTTAACACCCTACATGTGTTTGTGTTGGAGTTGGAGTTGGAGTTGGATTTGAATTTGAATTTGAATTTGAATCTATTATTTTGGATGTTTGATGGTAGGTTGAAGCAATAAAGAACATTGCAGACTATGTCTCTCAACTTAGAAGAGTTGGGAAAGGCCATGGTAAGACTTGTACACCATCCATTAAAAGTTGTACATGACCTTGAAATTTAATTTTTCTTGTGCAAAAGTTTGTCATCTAAAACTCATTAATTTAAATTGAATGTTGAAATTTTAAATCCAATCTAATTCAATTATGATCAATATAACTTTCTACAGAATCTTACATAAAACATTACAAACTCAAAATAGTGATAAAATTTAAACTGCAGGGGTGTGGCATTTTGATCAGATGCTTCTTGGCGAAGGTGCATTATGAAGGATTTGTCGTACGTTTTATCTGGTTGTATCTTTAGCATAATAACTTGTACTTGGTTACAATTTACAATTTCTACTGTCACGTCATTTTCATGTTGTCTAGATTATAGTATTTGTATAATAATGTACTACTTTTATAATATATTTTAGAAAGTTTGATGAATCTTTTTTCACGTAGCAAATTAATGTCTATTAACTTATAATAGAACAAATTATATAAAAAAAAAAACAACGAATTTTATTCGATTTTTATTCTAAGCAATATGCTTACAAAACTTTCATTTTCTTATGTCCTTGAAAAATATATTTGACATATTTAATTTGGTACTAAAATGGTGTTATCAAATAAATATGAGTCACTTTTTACATCAGATTTCATATCACTTTATATAAAAAAAATATCTTAAAATTTATATTTTACTTAATCAGTATAAACTGTTGATTGGGATCTAGTTTCACGTGATGTCTAACATGTTATTATTTTTAAATGTCAAACTAAGGAGCCGTTTACTAAACACTTACTTGGTAAGTGTTTAACGGTAAAATTTAACATTATTATTTACTTACCGCGTAAGATTTTAGTCTATCAAAACAATATTGTATGCAATAATTTGCCCGGTAAGTGCTTAACGTGATAAGAGTCGTCGCTCTCACTTACCGGGTAAGACTTTTGGTCTTTGTCTCGCTTTTATCGGGTAAGATTCTTGGTCCTTACCATATTCATTCCGTGAGGTAATGTTACTTAGTAAACATTTACCCAGATAAGCGTTTGGTAAACGGTCCCTAAGAAAAAACAATTTAATGGTATTAATTTTTTTAACGAATTGTGAAACTTGTAGTAGTATAACTTATACTGTATAAGCAACATATTAATAAAATAGAGTAAATTATGCTTTTTGTCCTTGTGGTTTGTAAAAAACTATCAACCAAAATGTAACAAAATTTATTTTGATTCTCATTTATTGTAATTATTAACAAAAGTCAAGTATTACAATAAACGTTCAATTTTTTTTCATTTCATATTATTTTAGTTAGTAATAAATAATTTTGTAATTATTAATAACGTAAATGTAAAATTGTAAAGTTATTGTAATTTTTGAATACGTAAAAATATTCAATATCAAATTCTAACGTAAGTTAAAAACTTGTTTTATGGTAAAATTAATACATAGAGAGAGAATTAAACATTTGTATAAAAATATCTGTAGAAGAGTATTAGCGCAATGCATCGAGATACATCTCGATTGTCATGTTTCGATTTATTTCATCCACCTGTTGATGTTATAATACGGTTTTATGTGGTTTTGAGAAAAACAATAATGTTTTTTATTTTTGAATAAAATATAAATTTGAAAATATCTTAAAATTTTTTTTAAAAACATATCGATATTAGTATCAAATTAACTATTTAAAAAATATTGTTTTGTTGTGCAATTTCTTTAATTCAACTTTTTTATATTATAATTTAATTTAGGTTTAATAAGAAAGTAATT